AGTGAGTGTAAACAAAAAATAGAGCTATTCAGAGGCATTTCACAAGCAGAAGGAAAAAGTCAGTAAATAAACTGCCTGCAGCAAACAGCCCACATGAAGTTAGTTTTTGATTTAATATGTCTCAAAAACAGAACTGGCTAGCATTCTTGCTAGTGAATGAAAGCTCTTCAAATTATCACGCTGCCATACAAAAGGTTAAAAAGGGCGGGTGAGGGGAGGCATTCTCTTTGGAGAAATCAGAAGCTGCATCTCCTGTGCAAACAGGAAGTCACGACCTAGGCTGTCCCTCTGGCCAGGAGGCCAGACAGGGACTCACTGGGCTGCCTGTCCAGTCAGGCAGCACCAAGGCAGCCAGAGGCACACCAACTGGCAGGCAGGATGCTGGAAAGCTGTGGTAAAAAATCTGCCCTAAGGATGGCCACGTTTCACCAAACACCGGAGTATGCTTTTAAAATCAGGGAATATGCAACCATGTCTCCATCTCAACCACAAATGTCTGTCCATGGCAGACATAACAAAAATTAATTTTCCAAACAAGCTGTTTGATTACTTTTTTGTTATTTTATATGATTCCTCATTCTCGGAGGGCCCCATCATTGCCTTCAGCTAAAGCCATATCTAAAGGACAACATCCCAGGCAGCTTTCACCATGTGACATGAGCTTAGACAGGAGTGGGCATTTCCTTTACTTACTACAAGCTGATGAACTCCCACTGGATATTTAATTCAGACTCTAAGCTGTATTCACCAATCACTTGAAAGTTAAATAATTATCCCATTTAAAGAAATCTAACAATTATATTTTGCATCCCCCCTCCCTCAGCTATTGCTCTTGTGACAATATTCATCTTGTCCATGACAACTATTATCTGCTATATAAATATTGATGATCTGAGTAATTGCTGTTCTGTACATAATGCTTCTCACAGATATAAATTTCTCTGTCTGAAGTAGGCTGCTGACAATGTGCTTTCCTCCTTTTGCATGGCAATGAAACATTACTGAAGGTGTCACTGGGGGAGGGAAGGGTGAAGAAAGAAAAAAAGCAGCGAGTAAAAACAGCCCTTGAAGAGGATAAATGCAGTGATGTTTGTCTATGCTGGGAAGACTGAATAGTACCAAAGAACAAGTTAGTTAAGATGGTATTCAGGCAGCATAAGTTTAGCCTACACTGTGCCAACACCAGGCACTGCTGAAAAGGAAAGAACTGCTCTGGACCCAACACTGGCCACCACTGCTAATCTGGAATACCACGTTCTTGGGATATGTTGTATACAACATTGTACCCCCTCGTGGTTCACTGACAGCAGGGGTTATTTCTTCTGCACCAAAATCCAATCAAAAATCTTGAACTAGAGGAAGAACACCACGCTGAACATCGTGCTGGGACATCCAATGCCACCCTGTAACCTATGCCAGCACAGGGCCGACATGTCACACAAAAGCAAAGATGGTCTTTAAGCATCCAACACCCATCCATACATACCACAGGCACAAAACAGCATTTCTTCAAAGCCTTTTGCTGGCTCAACACGTTTGCCCAGCAGGCTTTCTGAAGTCAGGTAGTCCTCTGTCTTCCTGCAATTGTCAAAAACCACTGGAATCATTCCACCGTATGTCCTGGCTCATCTGATCACATTGCCCCCTGGTCTGGCAGTACAAAGACCCAATTTTGACAGAGCCCTCCCACTAGCACATGGACACACATTTCCAGACTTGAAATTTGCCTCTGGACAGTCAAGAGTATGTAAGAGATGATGGCTTTCTTTAGTGGACACAGACTTCCTACAATATAAAACCTGAGTTTAAACCTCAATAAAATTACCTCTCTGGAATTATGGGTCAAGAGACAACTTTTTTCAGCCACATAAAATTTGGCAAGGTTTATGCTAAGAGTTTCTTTGTAGAAATATTCTTTTCCTAAGGTCTTCACCCATCATTTACACTATCTGGAAACAAACACTGGACAAACACCTTTCTTAAATTTAAAAAAAATTCAAAAATACATATGCTACAAAAAATAATGGGGAACTAAAAATCTGCCTGGTTTACATCAGTGTTACTGAAGATTAACAGAGGGTATGAAGAGGATGGAGAAAGGAACAGGAGAAAAGATACTGGAGTCCCTACAGGAGCTGGAGGCCAGGGCAGGGGCCAGAGGTGGGTAGGGACAGAGAACAAGCAGGAAGCAAGGGAGAATACAGATAACATACAAGCAACATTTGGAGTCTGGAGGTGGTGAAAGAGGAACTCAATGTTTGTAACCAACAAAAGAAGCAAGAGTCTGAAGTCTTACTTTCTCTGTTGCCTTGTTCAAACAACTACATAGTAAGCCATTATACATAATCACAGCAGCCACAAATTTTTAGAGATAGATATGTATTATAAGCACATGAACAGACTCAGTCAAAGTAGTCACTAAACACTCATGCAACCTATCTGTTCCCTGTGACACTGAGCCATCTGCTTGTTCAGTGTGTCCCTTGTCACATAATTAATTCCCCTTCTACTTTACGCAGCTTCTTTCCTTCCCCCTTAATTTCTATAATGCTTTGGGTTTTATATGTTACAACTGCTGTACATCTCTGAATCTTGAAGGGAAGTTGCTTCCAGCAGATTAAAGGCTGAATTCTTATCAGTAGCTCTGGGCATGCTTAACTAACACTATGCCACATAACATAGCCTAATTAGTCCAACAGGTCTTTTAAAAATAATCCACATGACCTCAGTTCTTACACTGAGTCATTTTGGAGATCAGTTGAAACAGAGCCCTGTGTAATTCTATAACATCAACAGCACACTGCATTACTTGAAGCAGACTGGATCCTAACTACAACAACCACGTAACTCCCACTATCTCACCTCTGTCTTGTTTTTCCCTCTTCTGTTTTTAAGACAAGACACAATCTAGTGAGCTCTAGCAAGTAGCCAGGCTTACCTACATGGTTTCCTACATTTCTCAGACCTACTTTGGTTGTGTGTAGACTAGTTGTAACACACTTTATATGCACATGGAATGCTCTACTGCTAATACAAATTATTTTGCATGCAAACACAAAATGCAGGTGGGGCCAAGCCACTAACTGCCCAATTCACAAGCACAGACTTTGGAATCTTAGGCTTTTACATGCATATTAATTTCAATGCAGTGAAATGTACCTATAACTTTGAAAGTCATGTTAAAACATCTTTAAGAAACATGACTCAAATCTTTAGTGTTAGCATTCCTGAGTCACTGAAAAGTAAAACTAAATTTCCATTGAATAATACTCTTATTTTCTAGGTGGTTCTGAATCCCATGTTTCACTGAAATCATGGACACACTTCACTGAAGCTATGCCTGTTCAACCATGTTTTCTTGTATAGCAATGTCGATCTGGAGAGTAAAGAAATACAATCTCCATCCACCACAACTGCATTGCCAAATTTCCTTAGAGAGGATGCAAAATGGCAGTATTCCCAGCTCAATGTGTTTTCATGAAGAGAGTAGCAAGTTTCATCACATCTGTGCCCAAGTCGCTATGTCCACAGAAAGAAATGCTTCACTGCATTTGTATCCCGCTACAGTCTCTCTCACGGAGATATGAAAATGCAATTTCACTATAAAAATAAATACAGTGGAGTGAATAAGTTCTTGCACTGGGCATATGGCCATCTATTTTCATTGCTTTCAAAAAGCAATGTGCTAAGACCTAGGAGGCAGACGCTGTGTGGATTACGGGACCCCACTTCTCTAGCTTTTTCTGATTTGCTTCAGGTTTCCTGGGGAGAGCAAGGGTTGCAATATGGTATTTGTGCCTCCCAGATGCTAAGTACCCTTTCTTAAGAAGCAAGGGCAGGTGGATGCTACCTTTACCTTCCTCTACCAGTGTAAGATCTGTAAGCAGGTCTTTTAGTTGCAGCCAAGGCACAGTGAAAGAGGGAACCTTGAACTGCGATGAAGGAACAACTACATCATCAGCATGCATCCTTTAAAGTGGCACAGAGACCTGTATGGATTTGGGAGGTGCAGCACACCTACTAGTCATTCTCTTTGACAGGACAGAACTACTTTGCACCAGTTTTTTACAGGAAAAGCATTCACAGGAAGAGATTTTGCCAATACCCGAAGTTTTGTGCTTTACACAACTAGAAAAATATAGTTGAAAGACTGACAGAAAGTGTACGAGAACTATTCTAATCAAATTTATTTACATTATGTACTTCTGATACAGAATACCAGCTACCAAATACATCACCCAATAATTCAAAGACCTAATAACCAGTTTGAGATTCCACGCCATCCGCTGAAACTGCTGTACTGATAAACCTCTTTCTTCTACATTTTTCACAGAATCATAGGATATTCTGAGTTGGAAGGGACCCACAAGGATCAGAGTCCAACTCTTAAGTGAATGGCCCATATGGGGATTGAACCCACAACCTTGGTGTTATTAGCACCAGGCTCTAACCAACTGAGCTAATCTCCACAGTTTTGGCTGCAGAAGGTGAGGTGCCAGAAACCTATCTTAAAACAGGAGTTGATGAAATGGGAACATTTACCAAAAAAAATAATACAATACAGTTCACAAACTGGTTTGCTTACCAAAGGAACATATTTAGTAGTTTCCTTTTATGCAGCACTAAAGAACTACAACTTACATTTCTTTTGTTTATGACTCCCGTGGCCTAAGACCTTTTCTTCTTCAGCTAATGCCTAGGTGACTCCCAGTTTTCACTTTGAGAATATTCCAAGACTATTCAAGCTGAAGAGAGTCTAAACACATGTATTCTAACACAAAAGATTAACCCCCACTTCCTAGGTGTACTACAACCAAACCACTGTTCTGTTTTCAGATGAAGCTGAACTCCAAAAACTTTAAAAATGTCTTGAAATAAGGTCAGCAATAAATGCGGGATTGTCCTGAGGAGCTACAGGAGTGATCAGTCCTCTTCATAATTATCTCCAAACATTTAAGGTTTCATGTTGTTTTCTTTTTTCCTTTTGCAGTAAAGCTCACCTGATTTAAACAACGCCCCTCAGTGTTCACCAACACAGGAGGAAAGAGGAAGAGCTGGTGCAAGATGCCGTTCCTTTTGGGCAGTTCAGAGTTTTCAGTGCTCTGCCGTGTAGGTTTCTGTCTGCCTGGGGGACTCTGAATGGAAAACACTGATGAGATCCACTGAAGGTCACAAAACCCTGCCAGGAGTCAGATGCAGACAAGACACACTAAAGAAGTAAAACAAACAAAACCCCAAACAAACCAACTGCCCCCTTATATTACTTTTCTTTTTCAGCTTCTTACCTGCAAATCTTGCCACAATTGGAAAAGTGGCAAGAAACGAAAACGTTAATGTGGAAATAGAGTAATTATTTAACCCACAATTTCCTAATAGGTTTTGAAAGTACTGTCAAGGATTCTCCTCTTTTGGAAGAGACGTATTTCACACAGAGAAGCTCAGAATTTCTGTCATGTGTGATATTATTGAAACGCTCAAAGATGGTTTCATCCATCTAGATGACTGCACGCATCCTTTCCACTGAATAAGCAAGCCATGCTGAAACAAAACAGGATCCGCACCTTACCCTGTTTGATTTGATTTACACAAGGGGGAAGCTGATACATCTCAAAAGTATGCATCATATCACACCCGTGACTTCAGACCCTCTGAAAGCCATTACTGGCTTTTGCTCAGACACGTGTGTCATGCACAAAATGGAGAAGGGAGGCTTCCTGAGCTTTGATCCAGGGACAGCTAAGCAGTAGGCAGGTCAGGACACTCAAAGAAGAGCATTGCACACTTGAGAGCTAGGAGTTGCCACCACCTGTCGTGGTCACATTAAAAAAAAAAATAAAAAGCTAATGAGCTAAAATAAAATTAACCAGACATGGCTATTCAATACCCTAGACTAGTTTTAAATGAATGCAACTGTTCTGTAAGTCAGAAAAGGATATGAAAGGGCAAGTAAGTGGAGAATTAAGCCTATGTTTATCTACCAACAGAATACAAAGTGGAATAACTTGCAAGTTGTTAAATGCTTCTTTGTCATAGAAGTACATTTACATAAATCACTGATTTTCCCTAGCTTATCTGTGGTAAGTCAGAAACATCTATATATTTTGATTTTTTTCCTCCATACATGCATGTGTGAATGCCCACCCAAACCTTTTTCTTCAGGCTTTGACTTTTCTCATTTTACCACTAAGAGAAACATAGAAGAAAGAGGGTGAGAGAAGGAGAGAAGAGGGATCTTTTTGTATTTTGCTTTTTAAGTAAAAAAATAGGTGGAATACATTTCTTTTTGTGGAATTTTTCTGGTTTGGGAAAAAGCATTTTCCATTTGATTAATTCAGTCAGCTATACACGTGACAAATACCAAGAACAAACAGTTTTGGACCAAAGAGCCTGGCCCTTTGATGTCACCTATAAAAATACAGATATTTCTATATAAAGAAAGCCAATCTTCAGTTCTAAACAGAGGATATGAAAATCAGATTCCCCTGCACTCTTCATACATTGGCCCTGCAGTACACTGCTGATCCACAACATGGAGAAGCATCTAAGCCTCTGCAGAACACATGCCACGGCCACCTTTATTTCTATTTGACAGCACAGGACATAATTAGCATCTTCCAGTTTCTCTTCCCCACTGCCAGTGTGGAACATTTGAGCATATGAATGGAGGTTTGAGCAGAAGGCCTCATAAATTACACAGAGACACAGAGATCTTTTCTGTTTAATACCAATCTTCCACAGGTCTCTAATGAGAGCCACGAACACCACCTACTAATCATCTCATCAGTAATGCAAATAACCATCTTGACCTCTCATCAAGTATCTCCCCAGCTTAAACTCTATGCCCTCAGACTGCACAGTCCTGGGTGCAAAAGTTGCCAAGTCCCGCTGAAAGACCCTTGTTGTGACAGCGCTATGTACCTCACACTCTGCGGCAGGAGCCTGCTGAGCACAGCCATGGATCGGGAGCCAGAGCTCCCTCAGCTACTGTAAGGGCTCACAAGCACTTCTGTCCCTAGCTCAGCACACATGACACAGCCAGATATTGCAAGAGCAGGCATCTCAGATCTCACGAAGGAGGCATTGTTCGGCTACAGCAACATACCTTCAGGCTCCCTAGAACAAAATACTGAGTAAGCAACACAGCAGAATGGCTACAGCACTGGCTTGGCACTCAGAAAACAGAAACAGGACCTTGTTTTAGCCCCCACCAGGGCCATCACACCTTGCTCCAGGGATGCCACAGCAGTGCTGCTATGCTGGACAGACCTCATACTCACATTTGCTGTGTCCCCATCTCCTGCTGTTGTGGCCTTGCTGTGCCATTTGCCATGCCTAGGGCTGCAGATGGACCCTGTTAGAGCACTTTGAAATCAAAATTATGAGAAAGGAATTCTTCTGTGAAACACCATACCTGCCCTGCCAGCAAAGTGTGAATTGCAAGAGCTTCCAAAATAAAAATAAATGTATTTTTATTAGCCCCTTACCCTTGGCATCAGGCCCATACTGCCAGTTCTCATAACATTTACAGGGAAACTGGCATATAGAACAGTACAGCAAACAAAAGGAAATCCTGTGAGAATCAGGTCAAAAAGTACCATAACAGCCTTGATCCTATAAAAGCAAAGACAAGCTACACCTGGACAAGCAAGTTGCAGCTACAGTCACTGATGTTAACAGACCTACCACAGCAAAAGTAAGAAAACAGGCTTCCAATCATCTGCAAAATAGCATAATTCAGGTTTTCTTTTAAATAATTATATTTGGAAAGTATTGCTAAGGAAAAAAAAAGCTTAAAGAATTGAAATATTTTAAGTAACAGCACCAGCACCTCAGCACCCCTGGTCCTGCTGCGAGCACGCACACACATTGCCGAGTACAGCTCAGCCGCTGCCGGCAGTTCCCAGCCTCACTGAAGGGAGAATTGCTGGGCTCCCAGTGCCACTCTCAGCAAATTTCTACTTTCTAAGCAGCAAGCGTCTGTACAATAGAAGCCCTCCTATCAGCATTGCCAGCTGTGCCCAAAGCACAAAAAGCGCAAGCACGTACACTTGTAAAATCTCAGCGTTTGCCTGCGTGTAAACAGTGCACTTCTGGAAAGGGAGAGAGAATATTTTCAGAGTAAACAGTGCAAAGATTTTGTGTCCTTCAGGATGTAAGAAAGCTGTTGTGATCCACTCTCATCTTCCCCACTCACTGCCTACTCAGCCAAGGCACCTCTGTAACTCACAGGGATCTCGACCACGTCTCGAACAAGCCTGTTTTGCTGCCTGCAAGAAGAAACTTTTCCTCTTGAAGCAGTCCAGCTCCCTGGTGTGCTATCCCTCCTAATGTTAGCTTACAGCCATTAAAATACCAACCAACTCCAGAGCAGGAAATGAAGCAAGAGGAACCCATTTCTAAACCTCACCACTGGAATTGCAGCTGTTGCCCCAGGGAGCTTAAGTAGGGGAAAATGGGGGAGCTCCTCACAGCCAGATTGGACCTCGGAAATCCTTACAGAGGTATGAGAGAGGTGGAGAAAATAGGTATGCTAAAGCACTGAGGCAGAAGACCATCTCCACCCCAAACTATTCACTTTTAAAACAGAGCACCACTCCAAGCCCCGGAGGGTGCCTTCTTTTAAGCAACTTCCCCTGCAGCTGATGGGAACAGAAGGCTTGTCTGATAAAGATGCTAGAACTTTACGACTGGGACTTTAAATTAAAGAGCCCACTCCTGAAAGGTGTCCTGTTCTCAGCTTTTTACTTGGGAGAAAGCAGGAGGAGGCAAGAGAAAAGACTGATACTTTGTTCTCTTTACTAAACCACCTATATGTGTACTTTTTCAAAACATGCAGAATTATGACAGGTTACGTTTGAGTTAAGGAGTCTGTGGAGAGAAGTTCTCAGTCCCAGAGGAAAGAAAAGCTAGGAACAACACTACAAAGAAGACTGATTTTGTTAAAGCCTGAGTTAAAATGAAACTTAGAGAATGTTTTCATCCAATCGTGGATGAAGCATACTCAAACAAAACACCTGCCTAGAAGAAAACCTCATGCAGCATGCAACTGCTACTTGCAGACTGAGCAGGAGGGCTTCACCAGCCAAAAAAGGATCTTCCTCGTGTTACGGACAGGAAGGTGTCAGTGCCAGAAGGCAGACATGCCAGCATGGAGGAAACATGGACCCACGCTGCCGGTCACCACAAGCCAGATGGCTCCAGTATCCTCATTCCTTTCCATGGGGATGAAGGGCACACAGGGGAAATTACAAAACCAGAACCTAGGTACCCCTCACAGGCTTGGGCACCTTGACACCACAGGTGCTTGCAGGAGACTTCCTTCTCTAGATGCATCAGGACAGTATTTCAGATCTGATTTACTGTCTAGACATTGCATGCTATTACACAGTACAACTGAAGAAGACTGAGAGCACCAGAGTGTGGAAAACAGACTGGTCCAATCTTTTTCTTTTTCTTTCTTTAAAAACAATACATTTTGCAGCCTACATCAACATCCTCACAAAAATGCTCGATCTGTTCTGCATCTCAGAAGCCGGCTGCTGAAAAACATCCACAATACAATTAAAACATGGATCCGTTAAGTTTCACTTCCCTCTGCAATTTTATAATCGTCTCATCCATCAATTTTGAAAGAATATTAATAGTGGCATTAGCTGGCTCTCCCCCTCCTCTGCTGAGCCAGCTGTTTGCAAGCCCTGTCCCTGCCTCTCAGAGTCTGACCACAGATGCTGTGAGGAAGAGGAGAGGGAGGAGGCAAACCAGGGCTCAAGAGAAGCCAGTGGAGCACACCTAACATGGGGGCCACCCCACAGAGGAGCTACTTCTTTTCCAGAGGAGCTATGGCAACTTTTGGTGCCTGAAGATCTTTCTAAACATACTTACTTCAAAAGAAAACCACACACACAAAATAGAGACAACAAGGTTGTGTCAGGGATTAACTGAAGCCTATCCAAGCTCAGACCAAATCCCAGGCATGCAGGCTTACCAACCCCTTCCAGGTTGGAGATGGCTAGGATGGACGTGCAGTCTTTTCCAGTTTTGGTTTTGGGGTTTATTCTCCCAGCTAAACCTTATTCCCTCCTCTGTAAGATGTGTAGATCTCTCCATTAATACAAGTCATTTCTCCCAGTAACATTCCACAGACTAGACAAAGTCCTTGGATCCCCAAGTACCTTTGGACAAGAGCTGAAGACCAGTCCCATGGTCTTTTTAATACTCTCTCCTTTTCAAATACTTGAAGTTCAGTAATCAAATCCTACCTCTTGGACTTACACACAGTGCCAATGCAAGGAGAAAAACTAGTTGGTGCCAGTTTTTAGCATCTGGCTTATTAATTATTTTGTAAAGATGTACAATCTGTTGAGTCATCTGAAACGTTTTAAGACACTGACATTATTTTATGAATCTAGTTTGACATGGTTTATAGCAATCATGGTCATGATTTATATCAGAAACTCCCAAGAACACAAGTCTGACTTTTAAATCATTGTCGTCGCAACTGTTTCACTTCAGGTCAGTCTGGTCTGTTCCAAGGCCAGATTTTGTTGGCAAACATATTTTCTTTGCTGGTATATCCACTTTTCCTCATCTAGTTTGATGAAACAAAAAAGCCCAAAGTACAGAAAGAAAGACAATTGTTATGCTCATTTGAACAAAACCAAAAATGTCTACTTTGTCCCCTCTTGCTGCTGTGTGAGGTTTTTATTAACCCTTCCCCATCCTCTGAATAAAGCTGTAGGAAGAAACTCACTGTAAATTGGTCAGAAGACAGACATGCAGACATCTAATGACTTGCTGAGACTACAGACATCACTTCTCTGGAAAGTGGCCAAGCTGCACCAACTTGCATTTCAGCTGGAAGACCAGTCTCTAGAACCCACACACTCTTTCTTGCACTATCATGTTGCTATTCAGTTCCAGAGAACAAAAAAAGCACA